AAAGCAAAACATACTTGTACAAAAGTGAAAAGCCAGAGTAAATTTGTCAGCCATCATCTGGTGCCCCAGAACAAAAATACTCTTCTCTTTGCAGATGTGTGTTTCATCCTTGGAATCATTCGGCTTTTAGTCCATGAATGTCTAACCATTTGTCATGCCAGCGGAGTCCAGAGGCACACTTCCTCTTGTAAGCAGCAGCAATTTTGCCAATGGTTCAATATATGCTAAATATCTGTGTGGATCAGGGCCCTGTTTTAATGGGTCTCAAGTCTGAGTCTTCAGTCCTGAGTCCCAAGCCTGGAGTCCAAGTCCCAAGTCTGGGAGGGAAGCCAGACGGGCACATGGCCATGCGCAGATTCAACTGTGCATGCGCAGAGGCAGCAGGCCCCGCTTCAGTTGATAGGCAGCGCATGCTCAGACAGAGTGGGCCTGGCTTCTGGAAGGGAAGCCAGGCCTGCCACCTCTGAGGATGATGGCAGCAGCACAGCGGTGTGGCAGCGGCAGTGCAGCAGTACACACCAGTAAGGAGCCCCATCTCTATTTGGGAATCAACAACATGACTTTGAAGCTTCAAGTCTTGCAGAGATTTAAAATGCTGAAAAGGGGGGAGGGGGAGGAAGCTGACTGTGGTCCTGCCTAACAAACGCACACCCTTCAGACAAACATAGGAAACAAGGGGGGATGGAATGGAGATTCTGGAGGGGGAAAAAACACGTGCTTAGCCAGATTCCTAAATCTGAGGGGATCCACGCTGCAACATTTTACTGCAGTTCATGTTTTTAGTAACTTGAGGTACGCCTTTGAAGAGTTCTGGGAGCAACTGTATCCGTTTGGGCCAGCATTTGTGGGGGGAACAAAATTACTTTCTTAACTTCTGCGGAAATCGTTGGTGAGGCGAGAGCGAGCAAAAGGGGTTGAAAGTTTCCCTCCTGCTACCGAGCCCCTTCGGGCATGCGCAGTGTTGGCAAAGCGCTTCCGTTCCCCTCTCGTTCCTCGTCCTTTTGCACGTTCCCTGCCAGTCTTAGGAGACGGAATCAAAAAAGGGTCTTGGAAACTTTCAGAGCCAGGAGGAGGATTCCGTCCACGAGCTCTCTGATTTCTGCGTAAGAATTGGACCCAGAGGCAGGAATCCTTTCTCACCTTGCTTCCATCCAGGTAAGTCCTTTTCTGCCCCTTTTCCCGCAACCCTTGTGGCGAGACGTTTGTGCGTTCCTCCAGCGTTAACGAACGGCTGGGGTCGTTAAAGTAGTGCCGTTACTTCTGCCTGTAATTTCCTGCGGCCAACCTGCCTGCAGTCTCTCCCCATCGATTTTAAATTGCGCGCGTTTTAAGTCCCGGGCACCTCTCCTTATGCCGCAATCAAAAGAGGAGCTTTTAATGCACGG